GGGGGGGGAAGAAAGTAAGAATCCATAGGGTGGTCAAGTTGCATATCATAGTCCAGTGACTGGTGATAATGGAAGAACCGGGGATGATTTTTTGCAGGAAAATGGGCAACTTTGTAAATGAATGTAATCCAGGGGAAAAAAGATTCTCTTGGGTGACATGGGCAGGTTGGGAGAATGCATTGAAAGTTAGTGGACCATTCAGAGTTGAATTAGAATCATGAATGTTTGCTGACTATCAGCTTAGAAAGTGGCCTGTTTGTTTCAAAGATGTGGTTTGGGCATCCGTCAGTCCAGCTGTACATTTGGAAAAGGAATTATTCAAAAAGTATGGGAAGTGAGAGCAATAAAAGTGACTTATAGAGAAGCAAAGCATGCATGAGAATAAACAGAATCCTTAGTGAATGGTTTGACAGAGCAGTGAATAAAAAAAAGATGTTTAAGATATTTGGGATTAAACATATGAGGAATGTTTACAGCTTTGATGGTTGGGGGCACAAATGTTTGGGTGAAGGGTATAACTGAAATTGGCTCCTTAAGGGGCTCACAGTTTAAAGCTGTTACTCCTCATGCTGGCTGAAGTAGATAAATGTCAAGACCAAATGGCTAAGGATTTTTGGCCCCTCCAGTCCTGGGGGGCTTCCATGTTTAGTCCGGGATGGGAAGCATTGCCCCATTCAACAAAGTATGCAATCTGGGGGTCCTGGATTCATAGCTCCTGCTGAAGGAGCAGATGGGAGCTGTGGATCCACACAGATCCATCCAGTGTGTCCAATGAATCCACTCCTGGACCAGGAGGCCCTTCAGATGGTCACTCACACCCTAGTCACCTCATGAAATGACTACTGCAATGCACCCTTGAAATCCACTTGGAAGCTCCTGTGATCCAGAATGTGTCACCGCTGCTCTACAAGCTGCACTAATTGTCAGTTGGCTTCCAGGTGCAATTTGAGGTGCTGGACACCACCTATAAAGTCCTTCATGGTTACTGGAAGGACTGCCTATCTCTCTTAGTTTCTGCCCATCAACATCTGGCAGAGGGGGTGCGCTCGGGGTCCCCTCTATTGAACAGTGTCATCTATCAGGGCCTCAAAGGCATCCCTTCTCTGCCACAGTGCCTGTCTTCTGCAACAGCATTCCCCCAGAGATTCATTTGGCTCCCATCCTGCTGATGTTCTGTAAGGGACTGAAAGTTCAGCTATTTTCCCAGGGCTTGGGACAGGGTGGTGGGTGAGCCCCTATAAGATTGGGTTTGGCATGTCTTGGTTCTGTTTTACATGGTTTTCCTCAAACTATACCACTGCTTTCTTTTTCTTGTTCTGGTTTTTATTATGTACACTGCCCAGATCATTTGGAATTGGGTGTTTTTAAATCCACGT